TGTCCCCTTCCCCTTCCCCCTCCCCCACCACCTCCACCTCCGCCTCCGCCTCCTCCAGCTCCTTTACTTCCCTTCTTCATGGCAGTTTTACTATCCATTACCTCTTCATTTGTTGAAGTTGTGTTTGCAACATTACTCCTCAATTCATGCGAAAGTTTCCTCAAGGAAATTTCAGGTTTATATTGAACACTCTTCTCATTGTTCATATTGTCGCCGGTTATCCCCCAAATCAAGTAAGGGCTCAGCACCATTGAAAGAAATAGAAATACCCTAAGCCCCATCTTTTGTCTCAAGTTGAGAGAGTGAATGAGGACACTCAAACTCACACCCGCATATATATACTTGTTGTATAGTATATATTAAATTTTCAATCATACTACATGTATATCATTTTTGACATTTTTGTTTATATTGTGTCACGTGGTAACACATTATTGGACGGTTTTAAAAAAATACACACTTTTCAATCCTCCACTTTTTGAACGTGACAGTCCTCAGTACATATAAATCAATGATCCTTCCAAAGGCTGCAAAAAGTGGCTTGTAAACAGAAAATCCTTGTGGTTCAATTTGTCCCCACTTACATTATCGCTGCTTAACGCATGCCAAAGTTTGTTTGGTAACTCACAATGGCCCGGAGGGAGGGACGAGGGAACAACATTTTAGGAATGACAACCGAATGGAAAAGCCCTTCACATTAATTCTCGCTCTGTCGAGAATTTTTGGGAGTGGCGAGATAGGATCGAGTTATTATGTCATTCCTACATAAAACTCAATAATTATGGAATCCTCTCTCAGGGTATTTGCTGATAATACAGAATGTTTAGTGTATTGATGTTATTAAAAATTGTTTTTTATTATCTTCACCTCATTTAAAAGTTACCTAGAAACATGGGATATTTGCCAAATTGTTCTCCTATCCCATTAAATTAAATCAAGTCATTAGAAATATAAGATACTAGATAGATGAAAGTTTTATTTATTTGTATTTTATGTTCTTGAATATGATCTAAATAAGCAAATTTTAAATAAAATATTTGTTTTTTTATTTGAAAAGATTTATATATAAACAATGCGTGTAAATAGATAATCAAGAGAACAACTATGTCGTAAGAATTTTAGAAATTGATTATTTTTTTCTAACGAAGTAATTGATTAAACAGCTTTATTTAAAAAATTCAAATTATTAGAAAATTTAATAATTTTTATTACAATCATGCTATATGATCAGATTTAATGACAAAAAATTATTTCCAAACAACACTTGACAATCTTTTATTGAAAATTGGAGGGAAAAAACACACAAAAACACTCAATCATATGCTTTCAACCCACTCTTTAATTTTTCCCTGTTTTATTCCCTCCTTCCTCAGCATCATTCTTTTTATTATATCTTAAACTTTGGAAAATGTGCCTTTCGCTTGACGAATGAGGATCGAAGTGGGACCAAATTAAAGTGTCAACCACGTGATGGGAAGTGCTGGATATATCAATTAATTGTACAAAATTTAATTGAATATATTGGAGAATTATTGGTTGCAATATGGCCATGTTGTCTTGTGTACTCCGCAACTAAAACAAAATTCCGAGTGCATTCCAACTTCCTACAATGATTCCTCCATGTGATGTGACAAATTGCTTATTTCCATCTCTTCAAGCAATTCTAAACTTATTTTCCACCGAACAACTTCACCATGTTGGCTTGTTTTGAATCATTGTTTTCTTGTATGTATTTACTAAAGCTGAAATAGGGTAAGATGTTTCTAACATTTTTGGTGATGTAACGAGACAATGATTTTAAGTGAGTGTAGTGTTATTCTGCACAACAAGCTATTACCAAAGTTACAAGATCTATGGAATTATAAAAATACCTTGAACTATTGATAAACTTTGTGCTTTTAATATTTTATGTGATATGTACAAGTGTTAATTTGATACCCCTTCTGTCTATAGGAAAATGAAAACTTGGTTTGGAAAAATTAAGACCACTACGGTGTCTCTATAGTTTACTTATAGATTTAAAAAGCGTCAAGAGGTGTGATTAAGGACGCGCTCATTAAGATGAATAAATTTATATCTTCAATGGACTTTCTTGTGTTGGATGTTGAGGAAGGAATATATATAGTAGTGATTTTAGGATGATTATTCCTAGTGACAGGTAATCCTTAATCGACATTGAGAAATGCGCTGAGCTAATCTTGATGGTGTAAGATGAACAAGCAGGGTTAAATGTATACACCACACTCCAGCAATCAATTTAGCTTGAGTAATGTTTGAGAATCAACGAGTTAGTGAAGAATGAAAAAGAAAAAAAAATGAGAAGTAACATTGAATGAACAAGCAAAATAGAAGAAAAATGGACAATTTACAATTTCAGGAGTCAAGGAGAAATCTTGGGAAGCTTGCAAGTGCAAGCAATACAAGGCTCCAAGAACCATCTAGAGCCTCCATTATTGATTTGATGCAAAGTCGAGCTCGAAAATTTAAATCTAGAGGTTAATTAGATGCAATTCATTCTCTAACTTGCTTCTTTTTGAAATTATCTTGAATTTGTGCATTTTATCATTAAATTTGGTGCCGGCAACACCAAATTACAAGTTCAATCAAATACAATGATTTATGATATATTTAATATAATATATGATATACGAATACGTAAACATAAACTGATGTTCAACCCTGCTTATGTAATAGTGTTATTCTAAAAAAGTAGTAAAAAAATTATGTGAAATCCACATATTGGCTCTTCCACGCGGTGGCGGGCACGTGTGGGAATATATTAGTAGTAGCAAAACTTGAATAATCATGCTATAAGTGCTGACAATTTTGATAGAAAATGTTTACAAACAACACTTTAGCATACATTCATTGAAAAAAAAATAGGCGAATTACATTTCGTCACGTCAGCTTTGATGACAAATCTATCATAAATTTCCTGTAATTGTGACTTTTTCCAAATTTGAAGCATTCACTCCTGCCACGTGTTAGCTGGAGCTGACAATATCTGAAATTCCTAAACTTTGCAGTCCAAGTTCCTAACTTTTATCTTCCACCATTTTGATCTCCGAACTTCTAAATTTGTTCAGTTTTGGTCATTGAGCCGGTTTTTCTTCTGATTTCTTTCGAATTTCTCGTTCCATCTTTTCGACACTTTTCTCAACCTCTTTTAACCTCACGCCATTTCCTCATCTTTGTTCAAATTTGTAATTAACCTAAAAAAACAGAATACATGCAAAACCAATAGAGATAATATTTCTGAACCTAACAATTATATAAATTCAATGTCCAAAATAAGTGTAAATTATATAATTATCAACACCTCTAAGCGTACTCTTTTGCTAATCCCTAACAAAACTAATTAAAACTAAGGCTCAAGAACAAACAAAAGAATTGAAAAATCAAGACACAACCTGTTAGATAGCTTACTATATTCACCTCAAGTTTGAAACTAAGCAATTTATCCACGACAAACTTCTCAAGATTGCTATATAAAAGATTTTAAACTTATCCTACGCTTGACTAATGGGTGTGTTAATAGCCAGTCAAATTATTACTTAAGTTTGGATTAACTTATGCAAATGATCGAATAGATCCTCAAATTGGTCTTAATCTTGATCTTCAATGGTTAAATTTTTCTTTCTCACTCATGAAATACGCTCCCCAAACTTGAAATGTAACCTCTCTCGTATGGTGTTATCACTAAGGTTGCTCTCATATATTTCTCAATTTTCAGAAATATCCCTCCAAAAGAGTAATAATGCAATCCACAGGATAAATACATAATGATTTTATCAGGACACCTACGTCATTTCACTAGTAGAGACGTGGGAGAAACAGAGACCTTATCAGATACAAAATGAAAGTTAACCGCAATATACTTTGTTTTAGGGATAACTTTAGTAACAATTCCAAACATTTCAAATCTTTGCAGGTTTTACTTTTACTTTTAATTTGTTGCATCCATGTTTCCAAACGTTTCAAGTGCGTGCAGCTAAAGGACAATGGATGGAATCTATCCATTTGGAAAGAAGAAGGTTCACTTTTTTACCTTTCCTTTTCTTTTTTCTTTTCTTTAGTTATTTAGTTATTTTAATTCTTTAATGTGGTAAATATAAAATTACTATTTTTTTTCTCTTTAAAACTATTAAAAATGTGATCAAACTTAATTTTCTGGTCAAGTCACGAAAAGATGAATGTTTCCATTTATTTGTCCTCCAACTGCATGCATTTGAAAGTTTTGGGATCACAACTGCAACTGTTGAATAAAGTAAAATCTGTAAAGATTTAAAGTAGGGCTGGACATGGTCCGATTCAATTCGGTTCTAACGAGAACCGAACTGACCCGAAATTTACGGGTATTTAGTAAGTGGAACCGTCGGGTCCAAATTTAATTACGGTATCATTCGGGTTCGGTTTCATTCGGTTGGTTCGGTTCCGTATTATAATTAAATTTTTTAATATATACAAAGTTACGTTAATTTAATTAATAATATGTTCAATATTAATTCTTACAAAACAATGTAGTTCAATCTTATGTGTTTTACGTCTCTCTTTGCAGAATTCTTCATAAATTTGATTATTAAAATTACAGAAAGATAAAGATAGCGAGTTCAAAATAATTAAGAGAGATATTGTAAAGCTTTAATTTTATTTTCTCCGGTAGAAACGGCACTACAGGAGAATAACAGATTTGAATAAAATTGAGGTCAATTTGATTAAACTGATTTTGAACTGAAAATTAGAAATAAGAAAATCATATTTTGTGGTTTGAACTAAATTAACTAGTTAACAAATTTATTTAGAAAAAATAAAATAATTTTACTTATTTAAAATAAATTAATTAAAAAAATTACGGAGATTCGGTTTTTCGGGTTTTGGCCTAGAACTGAGAACCGAACCATACCCGTCGGTTCTTGATTCAAATACTCATCGGATATCTAATTTGGGAAGAACTGTCGGGTTCGGTTCGGTTCGATTTGGATTTGGTTCGGGAGTTATGTCCAGCCCTAATTTAAAGCCATGACTACAATTATTTCTTTATTTAATTATAAATTGGATGATTAACATTAAATCGTACCCTTCAATTAACATATATATATGTGTGTGTGTGTGTTTTGTAAACTACATGCGCAAAGATTGTGAATAATAATACGATGTCATAACTCGGAACACCTCGACTTCTAAATTAGATTTTGGAATTTATTGTCACTTTCGAGTTAAATATATTCTATCAACTCTGCAAGAATATTTCTCTATGTCTTAAATATGAATTTCTAACTTTTTTTGATCTAAAAATTTACTGCATTTAATCAACCAACACATGTTAGTGATACCTCTATTTTTTGCTTAAAAATTATGTTTTCTGATTCACCTATGTTAGTTGTCATCGTCGAGTAGTAACTAAAATCGAACAAAGCTTAGGCTGCTTTCCGCATCTTATTTCTTGAAAGTATCGATGCATGTTGTGGTTTATACGGTGAAGGCTAATCATACTACGGTGACGGACCTAAGCGTTAAACAAATTGGGCTATAGGCCACCCTAAAGTTTGGAGGGGTAATTAGGCCCAATACACTCAAAAGGTAACAAATTAGATAGGGAAAAAAATCATAATTCAGTGATTTAGTTTACACCAAATCACAAGTCCGGTGTATAATTTGAAACTGTAAAACTCAGGTATGAGGTAATTAACAAATTTTAAGGTCACAATTATACAATTAATGGTCACATGTACATAATTATAGATCACATTTTATTTATTGGTCACATATTATCAAATTAATTGGTTACAAATTATTTCGAAAGTTATAAATCAAGAAAATAAAGGTTACAGTTTATCTATTGTCACATATTTTCAAATTTGTTGGTCACGAATTACTTTTTTAATAAAAAATTATCGAATTTTAAGGTCACATTTTAATAGTTAGTCACATACACCCAAACACCAAATCCCGATTCTCATCCAACACCAACACTTGGTCATAAATCGACCAAATAGTTGGTCACAGACACTTTTCGTCCCATCCTGTCGCTACGCCATCATCTCCACCACCAGCAATAACAATAACACACCACCACTGCAACCAATATCACCACCTCATCACTATCACGACAACGACCACCACCTAGATCTGAACACACAGATCCACCACTGCCCATTGACATTAGCCTCTTGTTGCACCCCATTCTCATCCAATATCTCCATCTCTTGACCCACAGGTTTCCCGACTGACCTACGCTTACGTGGGTTATCCTCCGACAATGGATTCGAAGCCATCAAGTGGCTTGCTCTCCGACAATGGATTGCCTCTGTCATTGC